ACTGAACTATTTTTGCACTTGTGAAATTAACCCAATCCAGATGAAAGAAAAGACTAAATTTGGTTGAGAATTCTTTCAGGCTCATATAGTTTTATTAACATTCATCTAGTAAACAAAATTGACCTAATAGACAACTGAAAAATTAAAGACTAGATCTCTTGAAGTGTAAGGGCTAAAACAACTGTTATTCATTTTAAAAAGCAAATGGATGGTATGATTAGGGTTTACACTAGTTTAAAAATAGGCCAAGTATTGCATTCCCTTCATGCATTGTTCATTTAAAATAGTGAACATTAAAATACGTTGGTTCTACATGTAACCCACAAAAAAGCTCCTCACAAATCTTTATGTTCTGTGTATCAAATATCCACCTCATGTACTATGAAGGTTTTATTTATGTCTCATCATTAAGTTAAAAGTAATGTAAATAGTGAAATTATAATAGGCTAATGACCTGCATATTTTCATATGAATGTCAATATATCTAAATAGGAAATAAATGGCAGTTGTATCTACCTATATTAAAAAAATAGAATATCTTTCCAGATTTTGCATACTCATCACTTTATAAAGACAAGGTATGCAGGTTTTAAGGTTTCACAATCAGTTGTCAGAAAAACAGCAGTTGTTCCTGCAGTATCTCATTAGCATCTGACTCAATTATTTTTAGATGACATGATTTAGAAGACGTAAATCCACCCAAAAATTTGTAATTATTCTGAGATGGTTTTAATGTTAACCCTAGAATCATTAATGTTAACCCTAGAAACAATAGCAATGTGATGTAGAACAACTAATCAACATGACTAAAAATATGCTCACTTTCAGAAAAATAAACTGGTCATCTGGAAAAAAATCACAGCTACAACCTGGGGAACACTCCCATATAAGATATTGATCTGGTCAAGGCACACTATTCCTAAGTAGAACTATCAGATGAGGGTGAATTTAGGCCAGCTCTAAGGAACAGCCTATAAGACAGACCATAACTGATCCAATTTCCTTTCAAAGCAATCTGGTACTATCCTACCCACTTCAATTCAAACGTTTGAAGTTAATTCAAATCAAAAGACCATATTGGAGCAAAAGTGAGCAAATGTGTAAACTCTAGCACATTCTTATTGCTGTATTAAGTTTGAAGATGAGCATACATACCACAGCAGTATTGTTCCAGGAAGCAGGGTAGGAACAGTGGTAAATTAGGAAACAGACTATTAATTGCACAATGAATAGAAAAGTAAAAAATGTTTCAAAATCTACAATAAACCTGATCCAAAGGAGTCATAACAATGAGGTGCTGGACTTTAGTTCTGTGGTACAGCTTTGCAATGGACTCACTGGCCTACAGGTACGGCTCACTTCCTGCCTCCTGAAGGATGAATATGCTACACAGAGCTATGATGGTTTCTACTGAGTGGTAAAATTCACAGAAATTCCACATTACTCATGTCAGAATAATTCTCATTCCTTGTGCAAAGTTTGATGTAGATGAAGATAAAGTGGTTTCTTGGTCAATAACTGCAATTTCTTTCTTTTAAAGTCAGTGGGTTTCTTGTACAGTTCTATTACAATTGGCCCAGGTTTAATCTCATCCATCTCCATGAAAGCAAAACACTTGGTGCTATTAAACCTTTTTTTAGGCTTGTAGTGTTTGAATTCAAAGAAGATAGCTGCACTGTGGCTGTCACTCCAAGCTCTTCTACCATGTCTGAGTGACATTTCTCCATATCGTTTAATTCTTTGGTTAATTTTTCAATATGCTTCTGGAGCTCAATGTCCACATTAAAATGAACATATGTATCTTCTTTTCTTGAAGCCACAGGAGTATCTTGCACAGGAGTTAAATCTATGCCATTCAAATCCCTTACACTAACTGTAATATAGGGATCGATGCACTGTCTAGCGTCTTTCAGACCAATTTTCTCAATCCTGATAGTGAGTAATGTCATTCCCGGTTCTGATGGCAACCTTGGTAATAAAGTACCAGGCACTCTAGCAGGAAAAGATCAGGAGACCCTGCTCCAGCACCATCATCTTCTTCATCTTCTTCAAATTCCAAATGCTCTTCCTCACCAGGGGCTAAAATTCTCCTTAATGGGACAGGCTGAACATCAAATGGAAATTCTTTATTATATGTGAGAATATTCTTTAGGATTGATTCTAGCTTCTTCAGGTCCTCCAGTTTAAATTCTTCCTGGGACTGTGTGGACTGTAAAGCTGTGCTTCACAATTCCAAGCATGTTGCAATTTTGCCTATGGTTTTCTTTTGCTCTTCTGTGAATTCAGAATTGTTGTGTTGAGCTTGGGCCTCTTTTTGTAGATGTCTTGCTAATCTGCTGCTGCTGCCGCCGCCGCCGCTCAACTCTCATCTTGAGTTGCTCTAGATTTAGGGTTAGGTTTAGGGCTAGGGCTAGGGTTAGGGTTAGGGTTAGATTTAAGATCAGGGAAAGGGCTAGTGTTAGGTTATGTTTAGGCTTCGGGTCAGGTTTAGGGCTAGGGTTAGTGTTAGGGTCATAGTCAGGGTCAGGGTAATGGTGAGGTTCAGTGTTAGGCTCAGAGTTAGTATCAGGTTTAGGGTCAGTGTTAGGGTTAGGGCCAGTTTCAGGCTCAAGTTTAGGGTCAGAGTCAGGGTCAAGGTGAAGTTCATGGCTAGGACTAGAGCTAGGGCTAGGGTTAGGGTTAGGGCTAGGCCTAGTGCTAAAATTAGGGTTAGGCTTAGGGTGAAGTGTAGGGCTAGGATTAGTGCTAGGGCTAGGGTTATATTTTTTGTGAGGCTTAGGCTTAGGGTTGGGTCTAGTTTTGGCCAGGGTTAGGTCTAGGTTTAGGATGAGAGTGAGGCTTAGGGTTAAGACTATGGCTAGGGTTACGTTTATGGCTAGAGATAGGGATAGGGCTTGGGTTAGATTTTGGGTTAGTTTGAGGGTTTGGGTTAGGGTAAGGACTAAGTCCAGAGCTAGAGTTAGGGATACAATTAGGGTTAGGGTAAAGGGAAGGTTTATGTCTAGGGTTTAGGGATAGGCCCAGTGCTTGTGTTAGAGTTACGGTCAGCATTAGGATTAGGGTTAATGTTACGGCTAGAGTTAGGGCTACGCTGTGTTAGAGTTAGGTTTAGGCTTAGGGCTATGGTTAGAGTTAGATTTAGGATTAGATCTAGCTAGGGCTAGGATTAGGGCTTGTGTTAGGTTTAGGGTTAGGGTTAGGGCTAGGGTTACTGTTAGGGTTTGGGCTAGGGTTAGGTCTAGGGCAAAGGTAAAGGCTAGGGTTACAGTTATGACTAGTTTTACCGTTAGAATTTGGGCTAGGTCTAGTGTTAGGATTATATTTAAGATTAGCATCAGGTTTAGAGCTAGGGTTAGTGTTAGGTTCAGAGTCAGGGTCAGGGTTAGGGTTAGGGTTATGGTTAGCATGAGAATTTGAACTAGGTTTAGGGCTAGGTGTAGGTTTAGGGCTTGGGTTATATTAAGGGTTAGAGTTAGGGCTAGGGCTAGGTTTGTTTTAGTGCTAGGGCTAGGGTTAGGGCTAGTTTTAGAATTAGGGTGAGGGATAGGGCTAGTGTAAGGCTTAGGTTTAGGTTTAGGTTTAGGGCTGGTGCTAGTGTTAGGGTTAGGGATAGGTTTAGATTTGGGGTTAGGTTTAGGGTGCGTTTGTGGTGTGGGGAGCTCCCCCCATACCAATGTGAGAGGGGCCTCCCCATAGAGGGGGGAGTGCACTACTACCCTGGGTGTGGTTGGGAGCTCTCCCTGACACCCAGGTGAGAGGGACCTCCCTGCTAAAGGGGGAGAGTGCACCTCTACCCTGGGTGCATTGGTGGTTGGGGAGCTCCCCCCCACACATGCAGTCGGCAGCTCCCCACGACACACAGGTGAGATAGGCCTCCCCGCTAGATGGGAGAGTGACCCTCTACCCTGAGCACGGTGGGGAGCTCCCCAAAACCCAGGTAAGGGGGGCCTCCCCCCACTAGAGGGGGGAGTGCCCCTCTAACCTGGGCACAGTGGGGAGCTCCCCCCAACAACCAGGTTAGGGGGGTTTCTTTCCTAGAGGGGAAAGTGCCCCTCTACCCTGGGTGCAGTGGGGAGCCCCCCGGACACACACATTAGGGGGGCCTCCACCCTAGAGAGGGGAGTGCTGCTCTACCCTGGGTGCGGTGGTGCTGAGGGGAGCTTCCCCCACACCCAGATTAGGAGGACCTTCCCCCTAGTGGGGGGAGTGCACCTCTACCCTGGGTGTGGTAGTGGTGTGGGGAGCTTCCCCCGACACCCAGGTGAGACGGGCGTCCTCCCTAGAGAGGGGACGGCCCCTGGACCCTGGGCGCTGTGGGGAGTTCTCCCCCCCACACCCAGGTGAGAGGACCCTCCCCCCACCTAGAGGGGGGAGTACCCCTCTACCTTGGGCTCGGTGTGGAGCTCCCCCCGACAACTAGGTGAGGGGGTTCTCCCCCCTAGAGGGGGAAATGCTTCTCTACCCAGGGCATGGTGGGGAGCTCCCCCCGACACCCAGGTGAGAAGGGCCTCCCTCCACCAGAGGGGGGAGTGCCCCCCTACCCTGGGCCTGATAGGGAGCTCCCCCTGACACCCAGGTGAGAGGAGCCCACCCCCCTGGGGAGGGAGTGACCCTCTACACTGGGCGCAGTGGGGAGCTCACCCCCGACACCCAGGTGAGGTGGGCCCCCCCAGATGGAGGAGTGTTCCTCTACCCTGGGCGTGGTGGGGAGTTCCCTTCAACACCCAGGTGAGAGGGGCCTCCCCGCTCTGGAGGGTTGAGTGCCCCTCTACCCTGTTCGCTGCTGGGAGCTACCCCTGTCACCAAGGGAGCAGTGGGGAGCTACCCCCAACACCCACATTAGGGGGGCCTCCCTCCTAGAGGGGGTAGTGCCCCTCTACACTGCCTTAGGTGGGGAGCTCCCCCACCACACACCCAGGTGACAGGGGCCTCCCCCCTAGAGGGGGGACTGCCCCTCTACCCTGGGTGCAGTGGGGAGCACCCCCCACACACACACCCAGGTGAGAAGGACCTCCCCCCCTCCAGAGATGGCAGTGCCCTTCTACCCTGGGAGTGGTAGGGAGCTCCCCGGACACAAAGGTGAGAGGAGCACTCCCCTCTAGAGGAGGGAGTGCCCCTCTACCCTGGGCATGGTGGGGAGCTCCAAAACACACACACACACACAGGTGAGAGGGTACTCCCCTAGGGCAGAGTGCGCCTCTACCCTGGGTGCGGTGGGGAGCTCCCCTGACACCCAGGTGAGAGGGTGAGAGGGAGGCCCCTCTAATCTGTGTGTCAGGGGGAGGTCCCCACACCACCACCGCACCCAGGGTAGGGAGCTCCCCCAACTCCCAGGTAAGGGGGCCTCCCCCCCTAGAGGTAGGATTGCCCCTCTATCCTGTGCGGGTTAGGGAGCTCCCCCTGACACTCAGGTGGGGGACCTCCCCCACCAAAGGGGGAGTGCCCCTCTACCCTGGTTGCTGTGGTGCAGTGGCAAGCTCCCACAGACACCCAGGTTAGAGTGACTCCCTCCTAGATGGGAGGAGTGCCCTCTACCCTGGGTGCCTTTGTGCCATGGGGAGCTCCCCCCACACTCAGGTTAGAGGGGCCTCCCCTGTAGAGGGGGGAGTGCCTTCCACCCTGGGTATGCTGGGGAGCTACCCCTAGAGTAAGGAGTGCCTTCCACCCTGGGTGCGGTGGTGAGATGGGGAGCTCCCCAGACACCCAGGTTAGAGGGGCTTTCCCCCTAGAGGGGGGAGTGCCCTCCACCCTGGGTGCAGTGGTGGTATGGGGAGCTCCCCCAACAACCAGGTTTTGTTGAGAGCCACAACCAAGTCAAGATGGCGCCTGGCATTTTGCCAGAAGGAGTGGTTGAGATGAGCCATTAAGATGATGATAATTAAGTTAAGCTTTGTATAATTATTAAGATAATGACTGATTGCTGTAACTGGATGATGCTAAATTGAAACAAGCTGTGTATTCAGTTGTGTATATAAAGCTCTGCTATCCGGCAATAAGGCGGCTCCTGCTTCCTCTAGTGTGGCTACTTTTGAGTTCCCCTTGATTTCTCCCGGAGTTCTGGAGAGTTCCCCTTGGGTTCTGGAAATAAAGTAGTTGCTTTTTGAACCTACAAGTAGCTCATGACCTCCCGGTTATTTTTGTGCCCAGCCAGACTGCTGGCATTTGGTGGCCTGTATGGATGCCTGAAGCTTGGGGGTAAGTGAAAGTGCTCGCACCTGAGGGCAGGGTGAGAGAATGAGTGACCATTTCAAAAAACAATGTGTTCTTGTTTTGATTTGTTGCGTTTCTGTTTCAAGCTGCCTGCCCCTAGAAATAAATAGGATGCTAGAAAAGTTGTTCAGCCCTGAGGAAGAGATAGACCACGGATACACATGTGAAGAAAATAGAAAAACTGATACAACGAATTTTTGTTCCGTTTTTGTTTAATTTTGTTTCAGTTTTGTTTTGTGTTATCTTGTTGGGTTGCATTATCTTTATAGCAGAAATATGGAAATAAAAATTAGTAAAAACTAAACTGAAAGAGTGTTAAGTAAAGTGCTAGAGGAAGGAGGTAACTCAGTAAAATCAAGAACAGTTAGGGCATATGTTAAGATGATACAAAGGTGTAGCCCATAGTTCATTAAAGAGGGGTTGTTAAATATATCACAATGGAACCATCATGGTGAAGATTTAAAAAGAATAGAAAAGGAAAGCCCAGGAACTTTGCCAGTTGACACATTACCATTGTGGATGTTGGTACAATCTTGTTTGCTTAGTCTAGGAGAAAACATCCTATATCAAGTAAAACAGGAAGTCTCTCGAGTTAGTCAGACAAGGGAAAAAAGTTTAGAGGAGGAAGGGCTATCAGGGGAGAAGTTACAACGGGAAGTTGCTACTAACACTTTTCTATCACCGGAGGGTGTTAGTGTCCAACCAACAGCTCCACCTATGTATACGGAGACAACATATGCTGAGTGGCCCTCAACCCCCATAGTTGATAAATGGGATTCTGAGACAGGATCTCAAAGATTAGCATGTCCTGTATTTGAGGAGGCAGGAGGGCAGTGAATTCACCATGCTTTATATTTCAAAACAGTGAAGCAGATGAAAGAGGCTGTAACAATTTATGGTCCTCAAGCACCCTTCACTGTAAGTATGGTCAAATCCATTACCAACTTGAACATGATGCCAGCAGATTGGGCTAGTATGTGCAAAGCTGTGCTAAATGGAGGACAATATCTGTTATGGAAGGTTGCCAATCAGGAATTTTGCACAGAAACGGCTAGGCGAAATGCAGCAGCCAGTTATTTTCAGAGAAATCTAGATATGTTGTTAGGAGAGGGACCTTATGAGGGTCAGCTGCAACAAATTAGATATGATCCTGCCATATACTCGCAAATCGCTTCAGCTGCGGTTAGGGCATGGAAAACTTTACAGAGGCATGGAGATTTACAAGGTCAATTATCTAAGGTAATACAAGGAGCTAATGAATCTTACGCTGAATTTGTAGATAGGCTTATACAAACAGCTACCAGAATCTTTGGGGATGTAGAACAAGCGATGCCATTAATAAAACAACTATCCTACGAACAAGCAAACAGATGGTACAGGGAGTCCATTAGACCACGGAAACATGGAGATTTAAACACATATATTAAATTATGTAGAGACATTAATGAACAGGGGCAAGTCTTGGCAGCTGCAGCACAACAGGCTTTAGGTGCCAGGCCAAAAACATGCTACAATTGTGAACAAACAGGACATTTTAAAAGGAGTTGCCCCATAGGAGGCGGGTTTAAGAAAACTAGGTATCAAAGGAGTAGAATACTGGGTATTTGCCCACAATGCCATAGAGAGAGACATTGGGCTAATGAATGCTGTTCTCAAACCACTATAGAGGGTACTCCATTATCAAAAAACGGACAAGGACCAGGTATTTACCCATGATATCATGGAGAAAAACATTGGACTCCATTGCCAAAAAACGGACAGGGGGGCCCAATGCTCCGAGGCCCACGACCACAAATATACGGGGCATTGGAGGAACCCAGCAACACCATCAGGGTAGTGCCCAGGACACATTATCCATTAGATCCTTCATTAGACAAACCAGAGGGAGCACAGGGTTGGACATCTGCACCTCTGCCAGAGCAGTAATAACTCCAGAGATAAGAGTTCAAATCATTCCCACAGGGGTAAAAGGACCTCTTCCCCAAGGAACAGTAGGCTTATTATTGGGACGAAGCTCTTCTACTCTAAAAGGACTTATGATAAGTCCTGGGGTAATTGATCCTGATTATGAAGGTGAAATAAAAATTAAAATAGCTCTCCAAGAAGTATATCAGTAATTTCACCAGGAGATAGAATAGCACAGTGATTAATAATACCCAGCCTACATGATAAATTTTCCAGTAGTACTATAGAAAGAGGTTCCAGGGAATTAGGCTACACAGGTGTAGATTGGGCTATGCTGTCTTTAAATTTATATTCTTGCCCAATGCTAAAACTAAATATTCAAGGACATGAATTTAATGGGCTACTGGACACAGGTGCAGACCTTAGCATCATGTCTCATCAAGAATGGCCAAAACATTGGCCATTACAACAAGCCACTCAAACGCTTCGAGGCCTAGGAGTGGTGACTAATCCCCATAGAAGTGCAATGGTATTAGTTTGGAAGGATCCTGAAGGATGTGTATTGGATCATCTTCCTATAAATTTATGGGGACAAGATGTCCTAGATCAATTAGGTTTGACATTAACAAATAACATCAATTCAAATGCACCCACAATTATGGCTAGACAAGGTTTTAGGAAAGAAAGATTAGGAGAAAAAGGACAAAGTATAATGGTGCCAATACAAATAGATCAAGGAACAGACAGACATGGATTGGGTTTTCAGGAGGGTCACTGAGACAATAAAAATTACTTGGAAATCAGAAAGACCACTATGGGTTCCTCAGTGGCCCCTTAATAAAGAAAAGATACAAGCAGCCCATGACCTGGTCAAACAGCAATTAGTGGAGGGACATATACAACTTTCCGTATCTCCCCACAATACTCCCATTTTTGTCATTAAAAAGAAATCTGGTAAATGGAGATTATTGCAAGATTTAAGAACCATTAATAATGAGATGGTTATTATGGGACCTGCTCAATCAGGGATTCCTCAATTGTCTGCTTTGCCAAAAACCTGGTATGTTTTAGCTATAGATATTAAAGATTGGGGTTTTTTTTTTCAGTTCCAATTCATCCTGAGGATAGTCCACATTTTGCATTTACTATCCCTGCATTGAATCATGAAGGTCCTGATCAGAGATATGAATGGAAAGTACTCTCTCAAGGGATGGCTAACAGCCCAACTATGTGTCAAATTTATGTTAACAAAGCAATCAAGCCACTTAGAAATCAAAATCCTGAACTACAAATATTATATGGGCAATGTATTATTAGCACACAAAGATAAAAACACATTGCTAGAATGTTATGCCACACTTACAGACTTATTAAAAAATTATAATCTAGAGATAGCAATAGATAAAGTACAATTAAATTTTCCAATTAATTATTTAGGAGTTCTATTACCCTCGACCATGGTCCCTCCACCAAAAATTCAAATACAAGTAGATCAACTCAAATCACTTAACGACTTTCAAAAGTTATTAGGAGACATAAATTGGATAAGGCCTTATCTAGGCATACCAACAGGAGAGTTGGGACCTTTATTTGATATCCTAAAAGGTCCATCAGATCAAAACTCACCCCGCATGTTAACGCCTGAAGCAAGAAAGGCATTAAAAATCATTGAAACATATATGGAAAATATGCATTTGGATAGAATTGATAGAAGTTTGCATTTATTATTTATTGTACTACCAACAAAAAATATTCCTGCAGGAGTATTTTGGCAAGAAGGTCCATTATTGTGGATACATTTATCTTATTCTCCTAACACTATTCTTGCTAGGTATCCTGAGGCTGTAGGACAATTTATACTCAAAGGAATAAAAGCAGCAAAGGGAGTGTTTGGAATTTCTCCCAATAAAATTATTACTCTATATACTATGGATCAAATTGATGAGTTAGCTAATGAGTTAAATACTTGGGCAATAATCATGTGCAAATGTAATGTTTCATTTGATAATCATTTACCATCTAATCCTTTGTTGTCTTTTTGGTCTTCGCATCCTGTAGTTTTTCCAAAAATGACAAGAAAAACACCTATCATGAATGCTCCAAATATATTCACTGATGGGTCAAATAATGGTACAGCAGCAGTAGTTACCCCTGGTAAACTTTTACATTTTTAGTACCCAAACAATCAGCTCAAAAGGTAGAGCTTAATGCAGTATTACAAGCTTTTGTGATGTTTAAAGATTCTGTATTTAATTTATTTTCTGATAGTCAGTATATAGTTAATGCTATAGTATCCCTTGAAAATGCTGGTAGGATTTCCCCTTCCTCTACTGTTTTCTCTTTGTTTTCCACTATACAAAGTCTAATCTGGGACAGAAAAGATCCATTCTTTATAGGACATATCAGAGCACATACAGGATTGCCTGGAGATTAGTTTGGGCAATGATTTAGCAGATAAAACTACACATGACACACATATTTTCTCTACACTAGAAGAAGCTATAAATTTTCATAAAAGGTTCCATGTCAATGCTAATACTTTACAAAAGCGTTTTAAAATAACTAAGGGACAAGCTAGACAAATAATAAAACAATGTCAAAATTGTGTGACCTTTTTACCACAAGTTAATCTTGGAGTCAATCCTAAAGGACTGATACCTAACCATAGTTGGCAGATGGACATCACATACTTGCCAGAATTTGGAAAATTAAAATATTTGCATGTTACAGTTGATACTTCTTCCGGATTTTTGATGGGCTCCCTTCATGCTGGAGAAAAAACTAAAGATATTATAGCTCATTGCTTACAAAATTTTGCCACTGTGGGCGTTCCAAAACAGTTAAAAACAGATAATGGCCCTGGCTATACTTCTACCTCTTTTAAGCAATTTTGTTCATCATTTGGCATTACTCATATAACAGGAATCCCATACAATCCTCAGGGACAAGGCATAGTTGAAAGAGTTCATCAATCTATTAAAATGTATTTATTAAAGCAAAAAAAGGGAATTGGGAAGGGGTATATATCCCCCAAAGATAAACTTAAAACAACCCTTTTTACTCTAAACTTTTAAAATTTGGATTCATCAGGGCTTAGTGCTGTGGAAAGGCACATGTGTCCAAAAAATGTACATAAGCCCAAGGTACTTTGGAAGGCTATTCTAACAGGACAATGGAAAGGTCCTGACCCAGTGATTGTATGGAGTCGGGGGTCTGTTTGTGTGTTTCCACAGGGAGAACAGCAGTCGATTTGGATTCCAGAGAGATTAATTAAAGCGATTTCTACAGACCAAAAAGAAGATGACTTGGCTCAAATTCATAACAGATGATATCCTTACATCTGCAACAGTGGTTCTCCCACACCTGGAGGCTAATGAATAATGAACACCATTAAAGCCTATTTCAAATGTAAAAAACCTTGGGGCTTGCTTGGGAGAATACCTTCAGACTCATTATGCAAGTTACAGGCAAAAGAATGGGATATCCAAAGAAGAGTCAAACCCAGGTGGTAACCAGGATGCGTTTTTCAATATCTATTTTATTATTGCCTTTTCCCACATCATGAAGTTCTATTTTATTTTTTGAGCTAATACAGACCTTGGTTAATGTTTTTCTGATCAGTTCTATTTTTTGACTGTGGAGTTTTTAAACATTGCAATGGAATGTAAAGCTACAAGGCCTTTACTATTGTCTTATGTGTTGTATATTATGTGTGCACAATTCTGTTTTGTGTTGTGTCTGTATGTGCGTATGTCCACATATATGAGGAGCGCTCATGAAAAAATGAATCCGAATTTTTTTTTATTCACATGATTTAAATGGTTTAATTTAAATTAGGTAAACAGCTGTTGAGGATTTTTTTAAAGGTGGTTAACAGATCTATTTGTTTACTTTCACCTTTCATTTTCATTATATTTAATAATTCTGTTCAGGATAATGTAAATTGTTCAGAAAATTGTTTTCTTAGTGCCTGGTGGAATGTTACATAATTTATTTTTTTTTTTTAGACATCATTGCCAGAATTCCTATCTTCATTCCAGTGCCGGTGAAGACAAAGATAAAACCAACAGCTTCTTTGATAGCTATCACAGTAAACTGTATAAACTGATGCATCAATGAATAATAACTCAACAAGTGATGCTCAATCAAGGAGTCGATTTACTTTGGGAGGAAATGGACATATTAATGGATTCCTCTGCTTTGAACTGCTTGCAGAACTTGCCTGAACTATGTATCACTTGTATGCATTGTGAACTATCTGTTGGTGCGGCGAATTGTGATAGTGCTAGGGTATCTTTGCTGATGGTGTCATCGGTGGTACAATTTTTCCAAAAGGAACCGTCATTTGGCTTCATGTTATGGCATTTTGCATCCTCCTCCCTTATGCTTCTGATGGTCTAAAATTTGGGGGCCAACAGAGGTGAGGCAAAGAACCTCACCCCCCACTGGTGCAAAGGCCTATCCACAAGTAGGGCTGTATGCTGGACCCGTAGTCAATGACAGGGTAAGATCCAAATGCAATGGTACCAACCTAAGACAGGAGGCTTTGAGGTCAGCTCATCCTATGACAGGTAAGGACCATATGTAGTATTGGACAACTTAAGACAGGCAGGGTCCCTAAGCCACATGCTTGTTGTTTAATTAAACAGAAGGAGGGAGATGTTGAGGGCCACAGGCAAGTCGGGATGACACATGGCATTCTGCCAGAAGGGAGTGGTTGAGAGCCATTGAGATGATGATGGTTAATGTTAAGCTGTGTATTCAGTTGTATATGGACCCCTGCTGTCCGGCAATAGGGCGGCTCCAGGAATAGAGTGATTCCTGCTGCCTTGGATGCCCACTACTTTGGAGTTCCCCTTGAGTTCTCCCAGGGTCTGAGTGGGGTAGGCACGGAGCCCCGGGAGAGCACAGGGAGTTCCTGGGGAGTGTACGTGGAGTGCTGGTGGAGTTCAGGCAATAAAGTTTCCTGTTTGAACATACAAGTGCTTTCTGGCCGCTGGATGATTTGTGCCCAGCCAGACTGTGGCACCTGGGGGTGGTGGGGAGCTCCCTATACCACCACTGCACCCAGGTTAGGAGCCCCTCTACCGCAGGTGTGGTAGGGAGCTGACCCCATATCCCAGGTTAAAGGGGCCTTCCCCCCAAGAAGGGAGAGGGCCCCTCTGTTAACGCTTTTGGCCGGTGATGAGTCCTTGCTTCCCCAATGTTGAAGAATAACACCAGAAAAGCACACCGAGGCAAGGTCAGAGTAGAAATTAGAAGTTTATTAAAGGACAGCAGAAAAGACTTCTCCCAGAGGAAGAAGGGGACCCAAGAGGTGGAATCCATCGAGATTTGTTTTAAGGAATTGGCTCTCATGACTTTAGAAGCTTGTAAGTCCAAAGCCTGCAGAGCAGGCAGACCCAGGGAGGAGTTGACAGTGTAGTTTGAGTCTGAAGGTAGTCTATTGGCATAATTTCTCCCAACTGAGGAAAGTCAGTCTATTTTAATGAAGTCTTAAACTGATTGTATAAGCCTCGCCCAAATTATGGACAATAAACTACTTTACTCAAAGTCTACTGATTTAAATGTTAATTCCACTTTTAAAATACCTTCACAGAAAAACATCCATAATAGTTTTTGATGAAATATTTGAGTTGTTATGCCCCACCCAAGTTGACATATAAACTTAACCACCACAATTACGTACTCAATAGCTTTTCACTGATGATGTAATAGACAATAAGTTAAACACAATCCCTGTTCCTGTGGTGCTTACTCAAAACTCCATTAAATCAACGGTGCCTGAATGTAGATAAATTCAAGTCTAAAACACTGGAACCAGTTCCTCTTCAAATAACAAAGTTTGATAAGGAAGAGAAAGATCAAGAAGTCTCTGGATACCTGGATGTGGTGGACCATGCCTGTAGTCCCAGCAATTGTAGAGATTGAGGCAGGAGGATAACGAGTTTGAGGCCAGTCTCAGCAACAAAACAAGATCATGTCTTAAAATGATATATGACATATTTTTGAAAGGGCTGGAAATAGAGCCAGAGGTAAAGCACCTCTAGGTTCAATTCTCATCCTGAAAAAGAAAAAAAAAAACAATACAAAAGGGGAAAAGGGGGGGTTCCTGGATGCTGAAAACAAGGGTGTGGGGGAAAGGTAGCAGAAAAGAACTCTGGTACCTTTAAAGGGCTTTTCTAGGGTCATTTCCAGGGTCATTACTCACTCCTCAAGCTGAGTGCTCCAATAAAATGTGGTTCCCTTAACACTGGACTATGGGAGTCGTCAAGAGAGACTTTACAGAGGAGATGAAGCTAAATGTTGAGTCCTTGTTATGAATATTGGTGGCCAAAAAAGAAAGGGAAGAGAAAGGTCATTTCAGATATTACAGAGCAAAGAAGTCATACATAAATACAGAAGGGAATGCATTACATGTGGGGAGACATGAAGGGCTCCTCATGGCTGGGGCATGGGACACAGTAACAAAGTATAGACACAAGAGGCCAAGCATATCTGGGGTCTTGTTTCTCTTGGGTAGTTGGACTTTGTGAAAAACCACAGAAGTATTAAGCTGGAAGGAGATGTGATCATTTGTGTTTTGTTTTGTTTTTCCTGTTGTAATTTTTTATAATTTTTTTTATTTTTTTA